CCTGACACCTATTCTGAACTAGAGGCTACAAAAGAAAAATACCAGGCCAGGAGTTACTCTGGAGGCTGAGATCTGAGGATTGTGGTTTGAAGCCATCCCAGTCAGGAAAGTCTATGAGTCTCTTATCTCCAGTTCACCAGCAAAATGGCCGGAAGTGGAGCTGTGGCTCAAGTGGTAGAGCACAAGCCTTGAGTGGAAAAGTCCAGGGAGAGCGCCCAGGCCCTGAGTCTAAGCTCTAGGATCGACACATACAGAGAAAGCTGGAAGGAAGGGAGGAAGAAAGGGAGGGGAGGAAGGAGGGACAGAAGGCTTTGAGAAGGCCTAGCCCCATGTTTCTGGCCATGTGGCGGGTGAATGCATCAGCTGTGGCTGCGGGAGCTTCCCGGGGTTGAGGCTCCTGTATTGGGGCCACAGAGCAGCAGGTTTTCCAAAGAATCCCCCTGGAGAGTTTTCGTCTCCATGCTCTGGAATACCTGGACCCTCCCAGGTGGAAGGAAGAGGAGTCTTCCGTCCTGGGGAGGGGGGGAACCGAGGCGGGGGAAGGGATGCGGTGACTTCTGTTCTTGAGAAAGACGGGGAGACACTGAACTGGACGGGTGGAGGCCTGGCAGTGGATTTTCATGGTAAAATACTCGCAGGGCGTGTCCCTTCAAGGGTCTGTGACATGGTCTCCACCATTGGCCCCCAGAGCCCCGTCCTTCCAAACGCAAGCTCAGTCCCTGGCGCCCGCCCGCCCCCCCCCCCCCCCCCCCCCGGCTGCGTGCACCACTCTGGCTGGGAGCTCTCCTCCTCTAGCGGCTGCCAATAGGCAGAATGTTAGCCCAGTTCGCTCCTTTCCACAGCTTCGCATGCTCCCTTCCCAGCAACACCAGGTCCATGTAGTAAAGGCAGTAAATAATCAGCCTCCACCCTCCTTTACCTTGGGGTGGCACTGCTCTGGGGCGGCTACCCCCATATAAAGCAGCAAGAGCCCCTTAGAGCGACCTTCAGGTCTGGGAAGCTGCAAGCTCCTTATTACTAGGTGGGCAGCAGCCATGAATCCTAATCCACCATGATGAAGCCCCTGGCCTTCAAGTCCACACCAGGGCCTCCGCCTCCTAAACCTCCTAGATAGACCGCCTCAGACAATAGCCAGCACTACTTCTCCCTGTGAGAAGGGGTCTTGCCAGCCCCTTTTCCCGCAATAAACCTTTTCTTTGTTCTGTGTACCTGGATGTCTGCGTGGTTTTCTGGAAAAGTCTAATTCACTCTAACGTGGATCATCCCCCTTTGTTCTTGGGGGCCCACGTCACTGTCTCCCACAAAACCTTGGCAAGGTGCACCCAGGTGATCGCATGACTTCCAATTCCCTCCCTCTTAACAGCCAAGTAATATTCCACTCCGCGTACTAGTTCTGTGTACCCGTTCATCTGGCAAGGGCTGCTCACGCCTTCTCCGCCTGTCCACCCATGTGACGGGGGCCCTGGAATGTGGGCACGCACGCCCTCCTGCCTTCTGTTCTTCGGGGCAGCGTGGGTGGGGTTCCCGGGTCCTGCAGTCTTCCCGTGTGTGGTCTGGGCAGCTGCCATATTTCGCCCCCTCCCTCCCCAGATTTCTGTTGTTCCCCCCCCCCCCCCACTCCAGCCTGTGATGTGTTGTCATCATCTAGAACAGGACACAGCTCTTAGGATGTGTCGGTCCTGGGATCTGCAGACCCCGCCTGCTGATGGAGAAAAGGAAAATCGAGGGCGACAGGGGCCCAGAGAGAAGGAACGCGGGTGCACACGTGAATGTGAGGTACACGTGTGTGTCCGTGCGTGCTGTGTGCATGCACGTGTGGACGGGGTGGAAAGCAGGTATCTACAATCCTAGGTTTCCAAACCCAGCATAGCTCCTGACCTTGGCCTCAAGGTGAAGCGAAGGCCTGGTCTGCAGAGGCGTGGGGGGGGGTACAGGAAGTGCTCACCAGTGCAGTGTGGTGGGAGGAGGGGCAGGAAGTGCCCACCAGTGCAGTGTGGTAGTGGGAGGGACAGGAAGTGCCCACCAGTGCAGTGTGGTAGGGGGAGGGGCAGGAAGTGCCCACCAGCGCAGTGCAGTGGGAAGAGATCCCGGAAGTTTCTCCAGACCTCTGTGTCCAGGGGCCCTGAAGAAGTCTACTTTCTTCAGCGGGCCTCCCGGGCCCTGCCTGCATGCCCGGGACCCTGCCCACCGTGGCTCTGGGCTTTGCTGGCCACATCTAAGCAATGCGACCTGCTTTGGGAGAGTCTCTGAACGCACAGAACCAGCTCCCCAGCTCTCCTCCACGCTGTGTTTCTGGGCTAACTTCTCTCCCTGGATGGGCCAGGCGGGGGGCCATCTCCTGCCTAACCCTGACCCCTAGAACACAGCTTGCACAGACTGCAAGTCCAAGAGGTAGTATTTATTGTATGGGTAGATAGATGGATGGATAGGTGGATGGATGGACAGACAAGCAGGTGAATGGATGGGTGGGTGGAGACAGACAGTGGACAGATGTATGGACACTGAGAGGATAGATGAATGAGTGGGTGGGTATGTGGACGGGGAATGAGTGGATGGGCACGTGGGTAGACAGGTAAATATATGATGGATAGACCGGTGGGTGGATGGATGGATGGGTGGACAGGTGGGTGGATGGATGGATGGATAGGTGAATATTTGCACAGATGGATGGATGGATGGACAAGTGAACAGGTGGACATGATGGCTGGTCAGATGGGTGAGTGGATGGGTGGATGGACAGGTGGGTGGAAGGATGGATAGATGAATAGATGGACAGATAGGTGGACAGGTGGGTAGACAGGAGTAAATGGATGCATGGGTGGGTGGATGGATGGATGGGTGGATGGATGGATGGGTGGACGGATGGGTGGGTGGATGTGGGTGGGTGGATGGATGGGTGGGTGGATGGATGGGTAGGTGGATGGATGGATGGGTGGGTGGATGGATGGATGGATGGGTGGGTGGATGGATGGATGGATGGGTGGGTGGATGGATGGATGGGTGGATGGATGGATGGGTGGGTGGATGGATGGATGGGTGGGTGGATGGATGGGTGGGTGGATGGATGGGTGGGTGGATGGATGGATGGATGGGTGGACGGATGGGTGGATGGATGGATGGGTGGGTGGATGGATGGATGGATGGGTGGGTGGATGGATGGGTGGGTGGATGGATGGGTGGGTGGATGGATGGGTAGGTGGATGGATGGATGGGTGGGTGGATGGATGGATGGGTGGATGGATGGGTAGGTGGATGGATGGATGGGTGGGTGGATGGATGGATGGGTGGGTGGGTGGATGGATGGATAGAGGATGGATGGATGGATGGGTGGGTGGATGGGTGGATGGATGGATGGGTGGGTGGATGGATGGTGGATGGACGGTCAGGGGTGGGTGGACTCATGTGTTTTGCATGGGCAGGCGGAGGGATAAATGTGGGGCTCTGCCGGATGCCCATCGTCTGTACCCAGAGCCCGAGGTGCCTTTTGTCTTCCATGCCCCGGGGGGTGCGGTGACCGGGCCTGTGAACCTGGCACAGCCCTGTCCTGGCAGCCGGAGGGCTGATGCATGCAAAGCGGGCATCTCCTTGCCCATCCGCATGACCACCCTGGCGCGGCCCGGTCTGACAGCTAATGACATTATTGTGTGGAGACAATGGCCGTGGGCATTTGCTGACCGCGCTTGGATGCGGAGCTAATCCCGCATTCTCGCCCTGCGCTCGGCGGGCACGCAGCGATCCCCGTCTTGGCATGGGCGCCGCTGGGGAAGGTATAAAGGCCACCTCCTGCCGCCAGGCTCCAGGGCACTCCCGGGGCTGGTGTTCGGGTACGCGGGTAAGCGCCCCTCCGCCCTCCTTCCCTCCCCTTCCCGGGGCCTGCCTGCCTGTGGCCTAGAGGCCAGCTTGGGCAGAGACTTCAGGGCTGGCCCTGCCTGTCCTTCTCTGTGTGGTCCTCACTCCTCCGCGATCAAGGGGGATGGGGAGCCCTGGGCGAACAGCCTGGGGACCCCCTTATAAATATAAAGCCCTTGGTTCTCCTGGCCAGTGTGCGGGCAAATCCACGGAAGGTCTGGCGAGCCTGCCATCAGCGTTGATGGCTCCCGGGGCCGCGCCGTCGGTGCCCCCACTCCCCGCCCCAGATGCCCCCTCTGTGGGCAGTCTTGGGGAACCGCAGGTCTCGGGGGGCAGGTGATTCGGTGCCACCATGCTCTGCCACGTAGCAGTGTTGAGCCGGGGGGGGGGGTGCTGCGCCTCCGGGCGCCTCGGCCCCTCGGCCCCGCGCAAGGTCTTCTGAGACGCCACTGCAGCCCCGTGTGCAGATGGATCACTGAGGCCCAGGGAGGAAGGAAGGGAGCTGGGGCCGCCCTAGGTGGCAGGATCGGTGCCCGAGTTGGACAATGGAGCTTTGCCACCTTGAGCCTGAGAAACCTCCCGTAGCTGTGTGTGTGTGTGAGAGACAGAGACAGAGACAGAGAGGGGTGGGCTGGGACCCAGCACCCCACAGCTCCGAAGGCCGGATTTCCGGATGGACCAGCTGACCAGCTCCCAAGCCGTTGAACTGATTTTCTTCTTTCTGTGGGGGGGAGGCTGGGTGTGTGTGGGGGAGCCCTGGATTGATGGAGGAGTTCCCATCCCCACCTGCCCCGGGCTGGCCTTCCATCCCGTCTCGGGTCTGGGTGTTGGGGAGACAGGCAAAGGCGCAGAGGGGAGGAATGGGTGGGGGGGAAGAGGCAGGGGTACATTGTGGGCGCGGGTGGTGTGTCCCCGCGGGCTCTGCCTCTCCTCAGGCAAGTGGCGGGCCAGGACCTCACCTGGGGCTCTAGTTGAGCCCCGCACTATTGGGGGACCCCACTCCCCCTCCGCCCGGTGCGGGTCTGGTCAGTCAGGAGGGAAGCCAAGGTTTGCAGGCAGCAGCCCCCTCCGAACGCCGTGTTCCAGGATGAGCTGGGAGCAGCGGGGTCCCTCGGGGTCCCACATTTCTTGTGTTTTCCAGGTGACACCTGCACGGACACGCCACCATGGCTGCAGACCATCAGACCCAGGCGGGCAAGCCGCAGCCCCTCAACCCCAAGGTACTGGGGGGGGGGGGAGGGGACGAGCAATCCTCCTACAGACTCGGTTTCCCTTCTGCCAGTACCCCTACCACCCCTTTTCCTCTCTGGGCCTCAGTCTCCCTGATCTGTGCACTGGGCTTGGTTCTACGTCCCTGTTGGAGATGGCGCTCGTGAACAGGAGGTTAGCGTGCAATATTCAGACCCGGTCCTGCTGTGTGACCCAGGGCCAGTCACTTGACCTCTCTGGGCCCTGGTTCCTGCCTCTGTCAGACTGACAGGCAGGGTGGAGAGATCAGGCTGAGCCTACACCTGGCCTGCCTTCAGTGCCCATCAGCCAGTGCCCGCCGAGAGCCCCCCTCCTAAGGAGGTGGGGTGGATCCTGGTGACCCCAGGCCCCTGCCAGCTGCCCCCCCCAACCCACTGCCTCTCTGTCATTCTGCTCCAGAGTGGGGTGGGGGACGGGTCGCATGAGGACCCCCCCGCCCTCTCCCCCCCCCCCCCCGGCCATGTCTGCCTCTGTGCCTGACCTGGCTGGTCCAGCCCCCGCCTGCTCTGTCTGTCCTTTGGGTTCTGTGTGCTCAGAGGACAGACAGACAATAAGCAAACAAATACCAGGAGTGAGACGTCTTCACGGGGTAAGAGTCTCCCCAGAGGCAACAGGGAGGGGCTAGGGTTGGGTGGTGGGGAGGGGTCCCAGGCCCCTCGGAGGAGATGACACGTGCACAGAGACCTGCCTGGAGATGTGAGCGAGCAGTGACGTGGGAACTGGAGGCAGAGGTGGATGAGAATCCTGGTAAGGGTGGGGAGCAGCAGGTGCAAAGGCCCCGGGGTTGCTAGTGAGCATGGGTGGGTTTCAGGACCAGCGAGAACAGGCTCTAAACTCATTTAAAGCCGCGTGCCTAATCAGAGCTTTCCAGAAGTCACATCACCAAAATAAAAAGAAAGGAAGAAAACCAACACAGGTGAAATGAATTTTCACCTAATACTTACTTGTTCAATCACTACAAGCCGACTGTGAACCTTTAATGGACAATTAACCTAAGAATTCCCCCTTCACCTGACGCCTAAGGAAAGTAGATGTGGATTTTTCTGCTTACAGAACATCTTAACGAGGGCTGGCTTCCCCTGCTCACCAGCCACGTGGACCTGGTTGGTCGTACCGTTCTCAAAGCTGCAGGCTTAGAAGATTCAGCCCCATGGCAGGGGGTAGTGGCTCATGCCTGTAATCCCAGCCACTCAGGAGGCTGAGATCTGAGGACCCTAGAAAGGTCTGAGAAAGGTCTCTCATCTTGGATGAGCCAGCAAAAAGCTGGGCTGAAGGCATGGCTCGGTGGTAGAGTGCCCGCCACGGAGCTAGCAAGCCTTGAGCAAAATGCAAGGCCCTGAGTTCAAACCTCAGTGGCACCAAAAAAAACCAAAAACCAAACCAAAATGCCTGGACAGCGTAGAAGATTCTAGCTCCGTCCTCATGGTCCTCAGAGGCAAATGCTGGGCTGGCTGAACTTCCTCAGGGCCAGCACCTCCCGGGCCAGGAGCACCACAAACAAAAGCCCCCAGATGCTTCCAGATTCTTCTCTAAGGCCGGAAGATGGGCTGGATCTTCTGCCTAGTGGATGGGAGAAGTGAGGCCCAGAGGAGTCAAGTTCTTCCTAGGGTTGCGCAGCCGGTGGAGGCGGCTGCCTGCGCCCCTCTCCTGACCCCATCAGGGCAGGTCAGTGAGCACCAGAGCAGGACAGATGCCTGGAATGCAGGCCGCTCTCTCGGCTTCCTTTGTTCTGCTAATCTGGGGCTTGGGCGCGGGCGCCTGGCCTGCAGGGCAGGCCCAGCTGCCTCAGTGGCTCCGTGCTGTGCCCCTCCCCCAGGCCGGGGCCCGGTGCTCTCTTCTTTATCCAGAGGCCATGCTGGGGAGGTAGGGGCGGCCCTGGCCCCTGCTTCCCACGGGCCCTCCTGTCAGCACTTGGCTGGGAGTCGTCGGTGACTCTCGCTTCCTTTTTTGTTTTGGGAGGGGAGCCGTTCTGTTTCTCTGATGGAGGATCCCGGGGGCCCCTTCTCAGGGCTGCTGCCATGACTCAGAGTCGTGTTCCTAGTAGGTCGCCTGGTGCAGTGCGGTGGCTCTGGCCTGTCATCCCGGCTACACGGGAGGCTGAGATCCAAGCATCGCAGTTCAAAGCCAGCCTGGGTAGGAAAGCTTGTGAGACTCTGATCTCCAATGAACCACCAGGAAGCTGGAAGCAGAGCTGTGGCTCACGCGGTACAGTGCTAGCCTTGAACAAAAGAGCTACGCAAGGAGTACAGGATTCTGAGTTCAAGCCCCAGACTGGCATGCACAGACACACACACACACACACACACACACTCACTCACACAGCTCAGGAGACGCCATCCCAGCCAAGGGCTGGGCAAGGTGCTATGAGTCTATCACCCCCAGCAACATGAGGACGCACCCGGAGGAGGATGGCAGCTCAGGCCACCCGGGCCGGGCACAGACTGAGGACGTGACTGGGTAATAACCAATGCTGTATGGTGTGGCTCAAGCGGTAGAGCACATGCTGAGCGAGCGCGAGGCCCTGGGTTTAGAAGAAAGAGAAGAAGGAGGAGAAGGAGGAGGAGGAGGAGGAGAAGGAGGAGGAGGAGAGAGAGAGGGAGAGGGAGGAGAAAAGAAGGGAAGGAAAGAAAGAGGGAAGGAAGGAAGGAAGGAAGGAAGGAAGGAAGGAAGGAAGGAAGGAAGGAAGGAAGGAAGGAAGGGAGGGAGGGAGGAAGGGAGGGAGGGAGGAAGGAAGGAAGGAAGGAAGGAAGGAAGGGAGGGAGGAAGGAAGGAAGGGAGGAAGGAAGGAAGGGAGGGAGGAAGGAAGGGAGGAAGGAAGGAAGGGAGGAAGGAAGGGAGGGGAGGCAGTTGAGGACTACCCCGGAGGGGTGGGGCTTAGAGGAAAGGCTCAGGTGTGCGCAGGTGCGTGTGTAATTCTACCAGGCCACTCTGGTGGGGGAAACGCTGTCTCCAGGCCCTCGGGCTCAGTGGGCCCCCACGAGTGCCCTGCAAGCCGCTCCTGTTTTCTGCCTTAGAGCTGGAAGGTTGTGGTGACATCTCAGGCTGGGACTCCCGGCAGGTGCCTGGCCCCGGGCCCCTCTCCTCCCTAGTCCCCCTCCCTCCCCTCACCGTCCCCCCTTCCCGTTGCAGATCATCGTGTTCGAGCAGGAGAACTTCCAGGGCCACTCGCACGAGCTCAGCGGGCCCTGCCCCAACCTGAAGGACACGGGCGTGGAGAAGGCGGGCTCCGTCCTGGTGCAGGCCGGACCGTGTGTACAGGGCGGGGGGGGCTGGGGGCGGGTGTTCCCTCTCTGAGCCCCTAGATGCCTGACTTAGGGGGTCAGGATGTGGGGGGGTCTGGCGGCCTTTGGAAAGCACTGATGCTTTGGGAGCAAACAGCACTGGGTTCAAATCTCAGCCGCGCACTTGGGGGTAGAGGGGTGTCCCTGAGAGGAGGGAGTTATTAGGCCTTTTTATTTGGGGGGGTGGGAAAACTGTTGCTCCTTGTGGGGTGTGCTTCCCAGACACTTCCTGGATGTTTCTAGAACGGCCATTGGATGTGTCTCGAGTGGCCGGACTCTGGCTGTGGGCTTGCCTCTCCCTGGGAGGTTCACAGCCGGAAGCCCCAGCTCGGAGACCCCGACGTCTCCGACCCAAGCCCTCACAGATTTCAGGGCACATCGGGCGCTCAGGTCTGTGAGGGAGGGGTGTGTGAGCACAGCCCCCAGCTTCTGTGGGATCCTCAGGAATGGGGGGACCCATGACCCCCAACAGCTGAGGAGAGTGGAATGCTGGGGTCCAGGGTGGCTGACCCGCACCTCGCCTTGAGGTCCAAGGGAACTTGCTGAGGACAGAGTCCCATGGGTGTAGCCTGGGAGATGGGGGGACCCCCAAGGGAAATGCCCCAGTGGTAGGGGGCACCCCAGGCCCCCCTTTCTAGACAAATGAAGTCTTGCTCATTGGAGTGCTGTTATCTGAGTTTTCGTTATCTTTCAGTCATTTTAAAAATATTTTATTTTTGTCAGTCATGGGGCTTGAACTCAGGGCCTGGGCGCCGTCCCTGAGCTCTTTAGCTCAAGCCAAGCTCTCTACCACTTTGAGCCACAGCACCACTTCTGGTTTTCTGCTGGTTTATTAAAGAGTCCTGCAGACTTTCCTTCCCTGGGCTGGCTTCAAACTGCGACCCTCAGATCTCAGCCTCCTGAGTAGCGTGAGCCATTATAGCCCGCTATCTGCTTTAGTTATCTTTTAACATTTTGGTGGCTGTATGTCTCCAACATGATTTACTCGAGGTGTTTTTGTGTGTGTGGTTGGTTTGGGGCCGGTTCTCATGGAGCTCATACAGGCTGAACGAATGCTCTGCCCCAGCCATCCCCAACCTCTCAGATTTTCCACACCTTTCTTTCTGAAAATATGAATCTTAAAATTTTAAGATCGGTATCTCTCTTTGTTTTGACTTGGATTTTGTTTTTTCATTTGTTTGTCTTTGGCCCATGGCCTCAGACATGGGATCTTCCTGCTTCAGCCTCCTGAGAGGCATGATTAAAGCAAATAACCATTGTTTATTGTTCAAAATTAACATGTGAAATTAAGGATTTAGAGCGCACACACAGACGCCAACTTTACCATTTAAAAGTACTCATGATGATGATTTTGGAGTAAATGTTGCCTTTTTACTATGTATATAGTTAGAATTTCTTTTAAGCCCAAAATTGCCAGATGCTGGTGGCTCACACCTGTCATTCTAGCTACTCAGGAGGCTGAGATCTGAGGCTCACAGTTCAAAGCCAGCCCGGGCAGGAAACTCCATGAGACTCTTATCACCAATAAACCACCAGAAAAGCTGATAGTAGAGCTGTGGCTCAAGTGGTAGAGCGCCAGACCTGAGCAAAACAGCTGAGGGACGGCGGCCAGGCCCTGAGTTCAAGCCCTAAGACTGGCATGATAAACAATGAGCTCGTGGTATGTGTGAGGTTTTGTAGAAAGTTTCGGGAACTCTGCAGGGAGGGCCGGGGTGCGGCTGGGAGCCTGGGCTTGGTGGGGATTGGCTGGTGTTGCCGATTTCACCAGTTCCACCAACCCCACCGATTCCGTTTTGTTTTGTGTTCTGAGGCTGGCTCTGAGCCTGGCCGCGCCCGTGCCGTGCGCGCAGGGGAAGGGTGTGAGTAGGCATCGGTGAGCGGCAGTTTGTGGACCCTGTCCTTATGGGCTCTTGACGGCAGCCAGGCCCCAGGTTCTGGATAAGGATAATGGGGCTTCTCCTTGCTGGGCGATGCGGAGGCTGGGCCCTGCCCGTGCGGATACCTGACCCGCACTCCCTCTCCCGTCCCCCTCGCCAGCTGGGTGGGCTACGAGCAGGCCAATTGCAAGGGCGAGCAGTTCGTGTTTGAGAAGGGCGAGTACCCCCGCTGGGACTCCTGGACCAGCAGCCGGAGGACCGACTCCCTCAGCTCCCTGAGGCCCATCAAAGTGGTAAGCTCACTGCTTCCCTTCACCCTGGGCACCTCGGGACCAGGGGGCGGGGGGCGCCTGGCTGACCTTACCGTGTCCTCCGAGGGAAACTCCTCAAGGTGGGCCTCCCCAGCCTCCATCCTGCGCTGGCTCCCTTCACAGGAAGTGGACGTGGGATGGAGGAATCCTGTCACAAAGCAGCTGCTCCACAAACTGCCATGGGAATATTAAAAGATAGGCTGGGGGCCAGTGCCTCACGCCTATAATCCCAGCTACTCAAGAGACTGAGATCTGAGGATCAGGGTTCAAAGCCAGCCCAGGTGGGAAAGTCCATGAGACTCCTATCTCTAACCACCAAAAAGCCAGAAATAGAGCTCAAGTGGTAGAGTGTCAGCCTTGGGTAAAACAGCTCAGGCACAGGCCCTGAGATCAAGCCCCAGGACCAACACACACACACACACACACACACACACACACACACACACACACACACACACACACACACACACACACACTAATCTGGGTGTTCCATACCAGGTGTGGAACTTCCAAAACCTCTTCCCTCCTGATTCCTTTTCTTTAAAATGTTAAATTGTTATTATAAAGGTGATGTACACAGGGGCTACAGTTACATAAGTCAGGCTAAGAGCACATTTCATCTCTTCTTTCCTTCTCTCCCAGATTTTCCCTCCCACCCCCACCCACAAGTTGTTTAGGATCCAGTGAGTACCACAGCTGCATTTGTTGACCCTTTGTCCCTTCATTTTGGTCCTGATTCTTACTAGAGTGTGAGGTGTTGAGGAGCAAAGGCCCAGCAGTGCCCTGCTATTCTCTACCAACCACCCTTCTAAGCCCTGCCAGCTCCCCTCCGGGCCTGTGGAAGGCTGGTCACATTGGCCATGGCACACACCCAGGGCAGGGATCCCGTGGGACTGGCCCTTCTGCTCCCAGCTGTGTGATGTTGGCCAAGGCTCTTTACCTCTCTGAGCCCCCATCGGCTCATAAAAGTCGCTGAGAGGCTGCAATGACTAAAGAGCCATATCTGGGGAGCGTGAGGGTGGAGAGGGCAGCGGCGGCTGCCACTTAGAAAAGGGGAAGGGAGCCCCTCTTCACCTGTCGCTACCCCTCCTCCCTCCAGGACAGCCAGGAGCACAAGATCACTCTGTACGAGAACCCCAACTTCACGGGGAAGAAGATGGAGATCGTGGATGACGACGTGCCGAGTTTCCACGCGCACGGCTACCAGGAGAAGGTGTCGTCGGTGCGCGTGCAGAGTGGCACGTGAGTGCCCCCTCCCCCCCCACTGTGAAGGCCAAGGCCCCGGCCACCCCCCCCAGCGCGGGCCAAGGCCCCGGCCACCCCCCCCCCCAGCGCGGGCCAAGGCCCCGGCCGCCCCCCCCCCAGCGCGGGCCAAGGCCCCGGCCACCCCCCCCAGCGCGGGCCAAGGCCCCGGCCACCCCCCCCCCAGCGCGGGCCAAGGCCCCGGCCACCCCCCCCCCCAGCGCGGGCCAAGGCCCCGGCCGCCCCCCCCCCCAGCGCGGGCCACGGGGTACGTCGAGGCAGCGGCGTGGGATGGCGCGGCCCGGGCCCGGCCTGGCCACGGGAGGCGCGCGCATGCCAGCCCAGCTGCTCAGGGGGCCGAGACCTGAGGGTTGTCTTTCGAAGCCAGCCCGGGCAGGAAGGATGGTGCCGAGCCAGCTGTGCCCCGCGCCTCCCCACCCGGCCACGCGCGCCCCCAGTGCCCCGCGCCTCCCCACCCGGCCACGCGCGCCCGGCGTGCCCGCGCCTCCCCACCCGGCCACGCGCGCCCGGCCACGCGCACCGAGTGCCCCGCGCCTCCCCACCCGGCCACGCGCGCCCTGCGTGCCCGCGCCTCCCCACCCGGCCACGCGCGCCCCCCAGTGCCCCGCGCCTCCCCACCCGGCCACGCGCGCCCCCAGTGCCCCGCGCCTCCCCACCCGGCCACGCGCACCGAGTGCCCCGCGCCTCCCCACCCGGCCACGCGCACCGAGTGCCCCGCGCCTCCCCACCCGGCCACGCGCGCCCCCAGTGCCCCGCGCCTCCCCACCCGGCCACGCGCACCGAGTGCCCCGCGCCTCCCCACCCGGCCACGCGCACCGAGTGCCCCGCGCCTCCCCACCCGGCCACGCGCGCCCCCAGTGCCCCGCGCCTCCCCACCCGGCCACGCGCACCCGGCGTGCGCCGCGCGCTCACCGCCACCCGCGCGGAACTCCCGACAGCGTGGCCGCTACGAGTGGAGGCTACACTGTCTTGTGTAGGGACAGCGCGAGAGAAAGTTTGCGCATGCCCACTGAGTGCGGCCACCGTGCTGAGTGGGCCATGATAGTCTGCGCATGCCCACTGAGCAGAGTCACCGTCCTGAGGCTTCCATGATAGAGTCTGCGCATGCCCACTGAGCATAGTCACCGTCCTGAGCCTTCCATGATAGAGTCTGCGCATGCCCACTGAGCATAGTCACCGTCCTGAGTCTTCCACGATAGTCTGCGCATGCCCACTGAGCAGAGTCACCGTCCTGAGCCTTCCATGATAGAGTCTGCGCATGCCCACTGAGCATAGTCACCGTCCTGAGCCTTCCATGATAGAGTCTGCGCATGCCCACTGAGCGCAGTCACGGTCCTGAGTCTTCCACGATAGTCTGCGCATGCCCACTGAGCATAGTCACCGTCCTGAGCCTTCCATGAATAGAGTCTGCGCATGCCCACTGAGCATAGTCACCGTCCTGAGCCTTCCATGATAGAGTCTGCGCATGCCCACTGAGCATAGTCACCGTCCTGAGCCTTCCATGATAGAGTCTGCGCATGCCCACTGAGCATAGTCACCGTCCTGAGCCTTCCATGATAGAGTCTGCGCATGCCCACTGAGCATAGTCACTGTCTTGAGCATTCCATGATAGAGTCTGCGCATGCCCACTGAGCATAGTCACCGTCCTGAGCCTTCCATGAATAGAGTCTGCGCATGCCCACTGAGCATAGTCACTGTCGAGCATTCCATGATAGAGTCTGCGCATGCCCACTGAGCGCAGAAACGCTGGCCTATTTTCCACGGTAGAGTCTGCGCATGCCCACTGAGCGCAGAACCGCTCTCCCTTGAGGTTTTCCATCCATTGCTTCGAGTTGTAGATGCAGAACGCGTGGACACAGCGGGCCGAGGGCTGTGTGTGTGTGTGTGTGTGTGCCTGTCCCGGGCGCTGGCCTTTGCCCAGGCTGGCTTCGAACCGCGAGCCTCGGATCCCAGCCTCCCGAGCGGCGGGCTGGGCGGGGAGGGCCCGGCCCGGCCCTCCCCACACCTCTCCCCCCCCCCCCCCCCGCAGGTGGGTGGGCTACCAGTTCCCCGGCTACCGCGGGCTGCAGTACCTGCTGGAGAAGGGCGACTACAAGGACAGCAGCGACTTCGGGGCGCCGCAGCCCCAGGTGCAGTCGGTGCGCCGCATCCGGGACATGCAGTGGCACCAGCGGGGCGCCTTCCACCCCTCCAACTAGAGCCCGAACCCCGCCCCGCCCCGCCCCCGCCACGGCGCACCCCAGCCAGTAATAAAGCGTGCCTTGCAATGAGCCTGCTCTGCGTCGTCTGTTCACCGAAGGCCTGGTGAGAGAGACAGACAGACAGTCCTTAGCTGTGTGACATTGTCCACATTATGCACCTCTCTGAGCTTCTGTGTTTTCTGGTGGTGCCAGGGTTCGAACTCAAGGCCAGGCACTCTCCCTTGGTTAATGCCACACACCTCTAGCCGGGCTGTGCTCTTTCTTTTTGGAGGGGAGGTTCACTGGAGATGGAGCCTCAGGGATTTTCCCCACCCAGGCTGGCTTGGAATCTCAGCCCTCTAGATCTCAGATCCTTGAGTAGCTAGGGTCACAGATGTGAGCCATGGTGCCCAGCTCCAGCCTGTGTTCCTTTACCAGACTCACAATTCCCATTGCCTCCAAAGTAGCTGGCTTAGCTGACCTCCCAGGCCATGTGCTATGTGGACAATGAGCATAATCAGCCTCAGGGAGCAGGTGGCTGGTACTCCAGCCCTTAACCATACATCCACTGGTGGCCATTTTCCTCATTATGAGTCCTGGGCGGTAGGTGGTTGGTTGGTTTGTATGGGAGCCCAGAACCTACCATGCCACCCCACCTACCACCGCCTGCCTGTGTGTCTGTCTATCCCTGGTCCCTCATTCATCCTTTGGCTGCTGGAGGCCTGGCTGCTAGAGGCCAGTGATTGGAGGCCAACTGTCTGTTTTGTAGGGCTGGTGGGATGGCAGCCAGGCATGTGGCTTTCCCAGAGCCCTGCCATCACCACCTGGGGAAACCAGGAGACCGGCAGCGCCTCCTGGAACTGGCACGGTGCGGCTGGGCCCCGGCCGTGGGCGCCCGTCTCTCTGGAGACTCGGCTTCTACGTGTCTACTGCGGGCAGGAGTTGGTGCTGTGTGTCTGGCTGGCTTCTCCCCGGCGTCATTATCCATGAGGCTTCCCCTCCCCCCCAACATGACCCGCCTTTCCATAGGTTTGGGTGTGTTTTTTTTTCCCCCCCTGGTAGAATGCTAACCCCAGGGCATGAGCGTATCCCCCACTGCGTTATTTCTTAAACGTGTTAACCCCTTGATCTTCACATTTAAATGCTTTTTCTTGGAGCTGAGGGAAGGGAGGGGAAAATACGGAGGCCCTAGAGATTGAACTCAGGGCCTTCTGCTTGTAAACAGGTGCTCTGCTCCCCGGGCCACGCCCCTCCACCCTTGTGCTTTTCTTCCTTTTGTAGAAGGTCTGGAGATGGTTGTTAACTTGGGGTGATCCTTGGACCCTGATCTTCCCCGTCTCCTCCTCCTGACAGGTACGCGTCGCCACACGTACCCACATGTCACATGTTCTTGCTGGAGACGGTTTTGGGTGCAGTGGAACCGTCCAGGGTGCGGCCAGGCCCGGCTGGGCTGTGTCCTCTTGCCTGAACCCCCGCCCCCCCCACAGGAGCCAGTTCCCATTTTGACCACCAGGTGTCAGCAAAGCGCCGTGTTCGCAGCTCCTGGCACTGGTCTTGATTGGAGCGGAGCCCTATCAGTCATCGAGGCCTAGCTGGGTGGGGCCACAGCCCCCCTTTATCTTCCCCAAGAGACCCAGACAGAGACTCCCCTCTCCACCCCCCCTCCCACCCCAAGGCCAGGAAGGCCCTGCCCCCAGCGTGTGTGGATGGGAAGACAAATAAAAAGTAAGAGCTATCACACTCGACCTTAGGAGAAGTTCCCAGACCAGAACTTTCAGGCCCACCTGAAAACTAAAATCCAAGTTCCCAGCACCTGTCCTGAGTTAGCCAATCAGAACCTAGGATTTCTGGAGGGGGGTGGGGTTCCACTCACCTGTGCTGGACCAGCCCCCGGGTTGGGGCTAGAGTGCTGCGGCAGGCTTCCACCCTTCCGGCCTGGTGAGGGCCATTCACAGAGGCCCGCGGGTGATGAACGCCCCCTGTCTGACTTGTTATCCTTTTCCTGTAAAGGCTGGCAAAATGGAGCGGAGAGCGGGTAAATCTCCTCTCCCCACCAGTCCACAGAACACCCACCAGGTGGCCTACACTGCCTTTTTCCAAGACAGCAGTCGTCCAGCTGGGCAGAGTAGTGCCTGCCTGTAATCCCAGCCATAGGAAAGACAGTCCCAGCAAGGCCCACTGGGGCAAAAGCTCAGAATCTAACCTGGAACATGAACTTAAAACAAACGTAGAAGAGCTGGCGGGGGGGGGGGGGGGGGGGGGGAGGGGGGGGAGGAGGGGCGGGGGGGGAGGGGCGGGGGGGGGAGGGGGCTCCCATGGTAGAGCTACTTGCCTTAGCAGGCATAAGGCCCGAGTTCAAACTTCGGCCAGGGAGTCACAGCAATTCCAGGTTCCGATCCGTGTCGCCGTGTCTCCAGGTGCTTTAGACTCGGCCCCGTGACCCCTGGGGTGCCCCGCCGTCCGCAGTGCTCTTGCTCTGACTCTGCACTAGAGGCCCGGGGTGGCCAGCGCCCGGCCCGCCCAGGAGAGGCTGTGTGCCACAGCCACCAGCACGGCACAGGCCCAGCAAAGCCTGGCCACGCTCCAGGCCTCCACGTGAACCCTCAGGGCCACACTGTCCTTAGAACCGAGAGCCAGGAAAGAGCCTCCGGCCCTGTGTTGCTTTCCTGTTTTGGGGCAGGCCTCGGACTGTGATCCTCCTCCTTTCCCCTGCGAAGCAGCTGGGATGACAGGCATGCGCTACCATGTTGGTCTTCTTGTTGGAGCACGAGGCCCCTCGTGATGCCCGCCTTCCACGGTGCTGGCTTCATGGCTGCTGCTTTGCTTTCTCTCCTGTAACCTGTGCGCCGCTCCCCGCCCCGTCCCAGCCCTCCCCCACAGAGCTGCATCGGCGGCCCTGGGTGCGATCGCCGGCTCATCGATGTCATAAGCTGAGTGCAGCAGAAAGTCCGGGCGTGGCTTTATCCACGCCGTCGCGGGCCGGGTGACTTTGGGTGGATCGCTGTGCTTCTGCAGTTCCTGCCTGTTATTTATGCAAGAGGAGACGATGGGCGGCAGGTGGCAGATGCTACCGCCCTGGTGAGCATGGCCAGACATGCACTACTGCCATGGACAGACGAGCAGACAGACAGACAGACAGACAGACAGACAGGCAGGTGCTCCGAGAGCCCCTCTCACACAATGGCCCACCCCGTCTGTCCCCCTGTGGCTCTGTCCTCCTCTCGCGATGACAGGCCGGGCGCCCATGGGCACTGCATTGTCTCCTCTCTACCGAGTTGGCAGATTCTCGCAATTTCCCAAGATTAAGGGGACCAAAAATACCCACCGTTGCCCGGGCTTCCGAAGACACATCTGTTCCCGGCAGCGCCTCCGAGGGAAGTGGGGCCTCAAAGGGAAGGGAAGCGCATCGGAGGATGGGCGCAGCTGTGGGGACCCGCTGCCAACCCCCCCACACCCCCCCCCCAGCCTCGGCTTGCCACTGAGCTACACGGGGATGAGGGCTGGGAAGAGCTGCAGGTGTCAGGAGCCCAGGACTCCTGTCCAGCTACACGGGAGGCCCATCACCCCGCTGTCTGCCGGACACGGGGAGGCGGGGCTCGTGGGCTGTGACCCAGGGCCGTGGACACATTGGACAAGGACTCTCCCATTGAGCTATTACCACTCTCCCCCCCCAACACATACAGACATCACACCCCAGTCTTGGATTTTTGAGACAGGATCTTACTATGTAGCCCAGGCTAGCCTCAAATGTATGAGCTTGATCTTCCTGTTCCAAGTGCTGGGATTACAGGAAGCACCACCCTGCTCAACGTTGAAGAAATCCTGTGTACCACCTAGCCAAGAGATGACAGAGTCTTGTGATGCTATGTAGGCTCCTGGATACATCCATGCCTGAAGCCAGGCATTCTGAGTGTCTATGTTAATAAGGATTCTTCAGAGAGATAGCAACACACACACACACACACACACACACACACACACACACACAAACAAATATGTAAATTGTGGGGTTGGCAGAAAGATAGAGGCTGAGAAGTCCCAATATAACACTTCCTGCTTCAAGTCTGAGGGTCTTGGAATCAGGAAGATGGATGGAATAAAGCTCCCGCCCCCAAAGCCAGTAAGGCTCAAGACCACATCTGAGTCCGAAGGTGGGAGAGGAGCACTGCCCAGCCTGAGCGCGCAAGGGACAAGAATCCCCTCAGCACGTTTTCTCCTGTCCAGGCCTTCACCCGATTGGACGAGGCTCACCCGGCCAGATGAGGAAGGAGGATGTGCTTTATCTGGGCTACAGACCCAACCAATACCCCTTAACCCAAATGTCCCTTGCCAGGCACACCCGGAATAACATTTGACCAGATATCTAAGCACCCCTGTGGGTTGGAGGGGGGGGCGGGTCCCCTTGGTATCAACTCGTTTAAAACACTCTGGCGTTGGTGCGATGTGCTGGGGACCGGAGTCTTGACTGACAATTCGTGGGGACTCTTCTGGGGTCGGGGAGATGAGCTCTTTATAGCGGGGTGCCTGGGTGAGAGATGGTAAATTCCCCAAGGTGACAGGTTGCCCAGAAACAGGCTTTTGAAACTCCACTTGGCCCCGAGTCCTGAAACCAGAGACAAGAGAAACAGAGAAGGGTGAGACAGACAGACAGACAGGGATGGATAGATGGATGGATGGATGGATGGATGGATGGATGGATGGATGGAAAGAAGGAGGGAGAAGAGCCTCCCAAACGTAGAACTACTGGTTGCTAACCATTTTTTCCTGCTTTGGAGAGAGCACAGCACAGAGAGAGACGAAGCGAGGGAGAACCCAGCTCCAGCACCTGCCAGGACAGACAGACATCCCGTGATGAGCACCTGGATCCAGCTGTGCCTGAAGCAGACCTTCCCCGACAGGGAGGCACATAAACCCACCTGGGTTGGGCCAGTGATGGGTGGCCGCTTTTGATCCCTTCAAAGCCATTGGCAAATGGGCAAAGGAAGGGGCGGGGCAGAGGTGTTCGTGTGTCCGTATGCTTGTGTCCGTGGGCTACAATTTGGCCTGGGCCTGGCTAGGCGTGGAGATGCCAGATGGCCCAAGCCTCT